AAACAGCCAATCAGAGCCAAGAAACATAGTTGATTGTTGAGTCTCATTACCAGGGCATCAAATACAGACCCTGGGAGTGAACAATCAGCTATATGCATGCCACCGACCCAAAGTGTCTTTACATCTTTCTCGGCTCTGATTAGTTGTTTTCGTTCAGGCCCGGTGGATTCTTGCAACTGCAATTAGGGGCAAGCCAGAGAATTTTTTTTCTCACAGATTAGAATTCTAAAATTTTTGGTGTGAAATGTTATTATATATCAATGATCCTGACCGACATGAATGCCGTGCAGCAATTAGTATGATGTCATTATACAGACTGACAACCCCCAGCTTCGACTGACTTCCAGCGTCCCTGCTCGGCTCCTCCAAAATTTCTTCCTCTGTCCCTCTGATTCTACTGCAAAACAGATGGCTTCACCCCATCCCCATTTCGAATCCATCTCCTCTCTGTGCACTCCAGGTTATGACCAAAATTGAAATCACATTCATATTAGACTCCAGGAGGCTTGAATGGCTATACCAAGTTGTGGTCCCTTTTTCAGAGAGAAATTTGCAGCTGCATTCTGGCATCATCCTGAATAAAAATGAACAAAAACAGATTGAGAGTGCTCTAATATGCTGCCTCGGAGCTGATTCTAGTGGAGATATTTTCAGACACAGAGAGCCGGTGGCAGATGGATTGCTGTGCTAAGACTGGACAGTATTATTCACCACTGTAGCTCTCCAGAGAGCATTGCTGTCTATTGCATATGGTGCTGAGCTGGATTACGGCAACAAGATCACAACAATATGCTCATTGTCCACCATGCAGGGGTATAATCTCAAGGATTACTCTCTGATGAAACTGGCCGCAGCCTCTCTGGATGATACTGAGTGATCTGGGAGATTTTATACAAGCCTCGTCTCTGGGCATCTTTTTTTTTGTTAGATCTTACAGACTTCAGAGTTTCATTTCAATTGTCCTCCTCTTTGTTTGCCTGCATATGAAGCTGGACGCAGCAGTGGGCAAAGCAGTGCTTCTCACAGCTGCCTCTCCAAAAGAAACGGGCAAACACGCGAACAGCGAGCTTGCCACCATCTGCTTGCTTGCTTGTGAATGAGCGAGGATGCTGCTGTCAAGTTAGTTGTGAATTGGAAACGGCAGCTGAGAGGACACACTGTGCCCTGACCACACAGAGTGGCACCGCCGCTGCCCGGCTGCCTGGCACAACGGGCTCCATCTGACACACTGATGATTCTACACACACACACACACACACGATGAGAGATTGTGGGCCAAAATCATGGGCAGGATTTAAATGTAGCGTGAAACTGAAGACCTATTTTTAATTGAGATCCTAACTCACCATGCTGTAGAGGAAAATATGTGAATTCTCCAGAGATGTATAGATTTATAGTAATGCAGCATATATTCTCGCTATGACTGTATAAGGCTTAGGAACTTGTAACTAATGCTACATTCACACTGCACTTTTTTAAATGATTCCAGTGTGTAAGTGACCTGCATGATGAATGTCAATCTAGAGCACTGGATGGTTCTCAAGCTTTTTCCTTAACAGACCCCTTTTCTTTCATTTACTAACCTGAATATGTGACATATTTTATGGATATTTTATATTCTATTCGCTGCATAACAATAACACTAGAGAAAAACTGAAATGTACCATGAACCCAAACAGTGAACACAATAACTGCAGGAAGTTTGAGTAAAACAAGATCAGATATTAGTTTTTCTGTCATATTTCATTGTCATATCTGCTGAAGCTCTCACTATATCCTGACAGTAGTACACAAAAAAATCTGGTTCCTCTGGCTCCTCCTAGTGCTCCTAATGGAGTCCACCAGGCCTGAATGAAAACAAATAATGTGAACAACAAAATCTGAGCAATAAATCAGAGCTGATTACAGTGCAAACATAGCCAAAGTGGCCCAAATCAGAATTGAAAAGATGAGATTCCATGTGATTTGGGCTGTTCACACTGTCACGAAAAAAAAACAGATCTGAGTCACATATTAGCAAAAACAAATCAGATTTGGGGCCACTTGTGCCTGCAGTGTGAATGCAGCCTTTTTAGTCTCATGTTGCTTTTTTTCTTTTTCTTTCCGTGAATGGAAAAACTGACCTTCGCTCTTTGTGAGCAGGTTATATATTTTGGAAAGCCTTGCAAGCGTTCTCTGAGAAAATGTGCGCTTAAGTAACAGAAGAAAAGAGGAATAGGTATCAAGCCGGCATAGACACTAAGCATACAAAACAGAACCCAAACAAACACCCTGGGAGCCCAACATTCAACACTGGCCAAGAAGGGCCCAGCAGAGAGGGCTGCCTTTGAAAAGAGCACCTGCACGCTATGAGAGTCTCCACAACAAAAACGTCTAGCCTCAACAACTCTTTACAACACTGACAGCCACAGGCTTTTTTCTTGTGAGCAAGTTTGTATGCGTGGACACAATCTCCGTCTGAGGCTACTTGATGTTCGCTTATGTGCAATTTGTCACCTGGCTTGTTTACTTTCCTTTCCGCTCATTTAGAACTCACCTTTGTCCTGATGGGCTCATTAGCAGCGGCCTCATTCCAGGAAGAAACCACCAGGTTAAAGCCCCACATTTGTGAACCCGAGCGACACGGCTCAGGCGCCGCGCTTTAAATGAGGCTTGGCCCCATTTCTCATGGGGAAGCTGCGGAGAGAGGAGCCAACAATGTGTTTTCACTTTCATGTGTTTTCATAAGTCATCTAGTTGGCCATTAAAGTTGATATTTTTCACAAGAAATTGCATCTTTTCCAAAAAAGAAACATGCTCTAAAATTAAATTCCATTTCTCTGGGGTAGAAGGTTGCACAGAGGAGTTTAAGCAACATGCTTACATGCATTTCATGCAGGAGCAGGTTTGAGCATCACTTTTAAGTCACAGAGGTTTCTCCTGGTCTTAGTTTCCCAATGGACACACCTAAAATACAGTGAGTGTACATGGATGGACTGAAAGGCCACCTTCAATGTAAAACCAGTTCATTTCACTCAAAAAAAGTTACATGAACTTATCCGGTTTTATATAGTCCTGTCTGTTCTTTTATTATTTCTTCAGTCTTGTTGTGCTTGTTCGTAAATGTTGTCTGTCTGTGCAGCATATATATTCATTATATTTTTTTTTAGTTTTAAGTCAAACTGAAATAGACAAAAAAAAACTATATTTTGTTGAGAGAATTTCTTCGTTAGAAAAACTTGCATTTTTGAATTTTAGAAACAACAAAAATCTGTATTTCATTATTTAACACTTTTTAACAATTTTTGAAATTCAATTTTTTCACAGGAAGAAAACTAAATTATTATTTGCTTATTTAAAAATGTGAGAGTATAAGTAAGACTTAAAATTTTATGGCGACTTAAGACTATACATAAGGCGATAGTTGCCTTGAAATTATGAGATTTCTCTACTTTTACAGTGTACAATTGCACTGTAAGTCTCCAAATCACCACGCTAATTTTGCAGGTCATATAAAAATTATATAACTTGTTTTCATGATTAATTGAACATTTTTATTTTTTATTTTTACCATTTTACAAATCAAGGAAAGGGAAAGACATAACACACACTTAATAATAACACTGAGAAAAAATATAACATATACATAATTAAACAAAAAACTAAATAAAGTGTTGAAAAAGGAAAGAGGAGAGCTGCACCTCTCTTCTAACAAATCAAATAAATTAAATAATGGATGAAAAATAAATAGATTATAGCCAGTACCCTAAAATAGATTCAGGTTTTTACCATGTGGTCAAGGAGAGGCCCCCAAACGTCTGAAACACTTCAGTGTGTTTCAGAGTGGAAGGGTGCTGTGTAACCATCTGAATGATAAAAAGCATCTTGTATAAACATTAGCATGCTATACAAAAAACGTTTTTATCTCAGATTAACCAAAGACAACACATCTGGTTGTATCTCTTTTTTAAAAACCCTATAACCAGGAAAGTGCCATCTCAGTAAGTATCAGGTTCTCTAAGTATCACCATTATGACCGACATTAAAATACAGCAGCGTAGGCTGCAGCTACAGACAGTTCACACAGGACAAAGGTTTATTCCTAATAAGACTATTATTGCTGACCATTGTTGAATCCTGAATGGAACCGGTTCAAGAACCAGAGCTAATTTAGTGGAAAAAAGGCGTTCTCCAAACCTCTCTTCCCAATAGTTCCTGTTTGGAGCCACAATTGCAGTGTTTTTGAACCATTCATTTTACCTCCACTTACATTTACATCACTTTTAAGCTCCTAACTAATCATGGATGCATGCTCGTGCTACGTAAATGAACGAGATGAGATATGTTTTTGAATTAATTTCATTCCTTAAAACTATTTCAGAGATTCCTCCATATTTGAGAACCACTTCTTTAAGCCAATAGTAACATAAGGCAGGAAAAATCCTGAGTAAATGAGCAAGTGACCCTTCAGCACACATAATACTGACACTCAGTTTACTCAGTCTAGTTTAGAATAGTGCTGTTAAAGTTCATCACTGAAAAATTGCACCTTAACTTCAGTGTTTTGTTCTTGTTGAAGACTCTTTTCCAGAGCTTCCTCGCTTGCCTCCTTAGATCCTTAACTTAAATTGTATCATTTAGAAAGTGAGCACACAAATTTGTTTGTTTTACTTGGAGGAAAAATGAGAATCTGTTAACCTCAGTGGCTTTATTTTGTCTAATTTATAAAGTGTTTAAAATGTGTATTGTTTTACTAATGATGAAGTTGTGATTTATCAAATGTATATCTCTTCAAAATGGCTGCTTTACCTGTTCAAGAAAATACGATGTAAAGCAGTAAAAGAAGAAGAAGAAGAAGATATACTTTATTAATCCCCAAGGGGAAATTGTTGTTGTTCACTCTTTTTTACACACATACACACACACACACAGACTGAAAATGGTCAGGAACGTTAATTTATGGACAAACTTGGGGTGCTGTGGTTTGTCATTTTAAAAAAATTAAGAAAAAAAGTAAGACGCTGAATTAAAGGTCATAAAGAAGCCACCCACAAATATTTTAAAAATGCACTGTGCAACTGCATTATATAGGAATAAATTAGGAAAACTATAATACAAAATAAACCAGGATTGGCAGAAAATAAATATTAAAGGACTTAAGAGTGATCAGGACATTGACTGACCTTTGACAAGATAGTGGAGCTTCAAACAAAGGCTCTGGCTAAGGGATCGTTTGACCCCTTGGGTCCCTGCCATTACATGCTCAGTAGGCCCACAGAGAAAAAAAACAATATTTTATTAAAAAGCAAGGCACTTCCATGCATTATTTTTTTTCTTTGGACCAAACCCTTGACTTGGAAAAAACTAACAAACAACACCCTCTGTCTAATAGACAATATATTTATGGCAAACATAAAAAAATTTACCACGAAACAATAAATTGCTGCTAAAAAAGAACTGCTAAATAATAATAATAAGAAAAAGGGGAAACATTTGTTATAATTAGGGACCGAGCCAGCGACTGCTGGAGGTCCCTATTGTTTTAAAAGCAGCCCCGGCCGCCACGTTTCACGATATGTACGAAACTCGGTAGGCACGTAACTAACCTGCCGAGAAGTTATAAAAAGCCGTCTGGACCAATAACCCCAACCCCACAGGAAGTCGGCCATTTTGATTTTCATATTACACTTTTCGGCAGACTTTTCGCGTTATTTGACAATCCTCCTCATTCATCAGGATCTGCTTCAAGTACAGTCAAAGTATCTTGCTGATTCAAAAGTTGTGTATTTGTTGCATGTACGCTTGCTAAGGGCGTGTCCGTGCGTGCCGTCCAAAAGTTGGCCAGGTTCGAACTCGAATCTCAAACGTGTGATGCATTTCGGCCACTTTAAGGGCTTTTGTTATTAACTTAACTTCCTACAGATTTTTTCAGATTGACTATCAAATTTCGATCACTGCAAATCCTAGACCACATTGCGTGATCCAAAAGTTAGCCGCTTTGTGACTCGTCATCTTACCTGGTGCCCGTGACAACGTGTCGAATTCTGCGATTGAGCCATAAAACCAGATCGACTCACACCTTCAGTTACCTGAACACCGTCCTACAACTTCCAGTGATACATAGGTTCCAAATCTCACATGAAACACGTTTCACATCGTTTGATCAACCAGTCCCGCCCTGAACACATGCTACAACGCAATATTCAAATCACATGGTGATAGCGTTCACCTTAACTAGCACAGGGAAGTGACGCGACTGCGTGGCGATTCTGAGCTCCGACTTTAACGTGAATTTGCATGTGTCGGTACCTCACGCGTTACGACGAGACGTGACACAGCGCAGCACACCCCAGTTGCGTGGAGTGCGAAGGTCCCGTCTAACGCTGCTTGCAGACCTTAATTAAATGTTTTTTTTTGTGTTTGTTTCTTTTTTTTTTTTACAGTAAAGTAGAAATAAATCAGGGATGATGACGGAAAACCAATAAAACACCCTCCTCTGAGCTTGCCCAAAAATGATATTTGCTACCCTCCCTTCAATCAAAGAAGAAGA